AGTTGCCGAGGAGACCAGGTACGGTTGCTCAGTCTCATGCCATCTGTGGACTGATGCGGTTGGCTCGTAGGTGCTTTCGTGTAGTACGGAAAACGTTGTGAAGGCCGACACGAGAGGTGTGTCAAGGGGAGCACCGTGGATGTCGGTGAAAAGGAGTGTGATGCTTTGTTTACTTGACAACGTGACGCTTGACGGTCACTTTAGAAGTTGTATGACCCATGTAGTCGTGGGCTGGCCTTCGGGTCATGCTCAAGTCCATTTGCTTAGTTCTCTTCAGAATACATGTCACCAACTCTCACTTAATGCTTTCTTCCACTCTATGGAAAGTCTCGGGACGCTACGATATTTAGGCTCAAAGTCACTTAGTCATTTTTCTGCCCAATTTAATGAATGCATTAACTTATTTTGTGTACCATCTTACAAAACCTACGAATGCATTTTTTGATGGTCAAACTTCCATGCAAAATACTTTTCATTATTGTCAACTATGACAAGATTGTTTGGCTACAATTCCACTTTTAAGCGTTGGAATCCTGATAAACATTTGCAAATCGTTTAATCATGGAATAGGTAATTGTGCTGAATTTCGACTTACCTCAAACGGCTAGAACTGATTGGACAGTTAACTGGAGTAGTAATGAAATAGCCCAAGCGATATGCTTCTCTTTAGTCGATTGTTCAGGCCTCAACAATTTTGTAAGGATTGCTGTCGCTAATGCGTTATAGTTAGTTTACAAAGGTGTCTCTCTGTGACAACCAATAGACTTCCCTCTGAGCTTCGGATGCTGGGGGAAGTTAACGGCTATTCTTGTCCTTTACCGCCCCATAATATAGCATCTGATATTTTCCCATGTTCCATCACGCCTCTACAGTTTGACCGCATAACTCCACACGAAATCTTCCCACAGCTTCCTGTTAGTCAATTTGTTTATCCACTAATTCTACCACCCTCGGATGACACGGTTGAGTACAAATGCGTCAATGACATTCAGAACCGTCGTCGGAAAATGAAAAAGCACAAGCGCAGAAAGTGGAGGAAAAAGTTTGCCTCCCTCATTCGCAAAGCCCAGCTGCAACGCGCAAAGAAAAATGAGCGCAAACTGCAGGAACTGCTCGAACTTTGGCGAAGTCGCTCCGAGGCCTGGGACCCAGCTGCCAAAGTTGAGCAACGTCTAATGTTTGCGCGGCGGTCAGGCTACTATGTAGATATTTTGTCATCACGTGGAGGCCTTAAACACAAATAAATCATTTGTCATCTTTGTCTCTTGTTGTTTTTCTGCAAATATACATCTTTCCTCAAGGGTCATCTGTCAACCTACAGGATACAAATCCCAGATCGGAGGCCTCTAACCCCGTGTCGGATACTGTGGAGGGGCAAAAAGCTCTCCTTGAAGCCACCAGCATAATTCGAGATCTCACACTGGCACTTAATCGGGTGTACGAAAATATTCGCGACATTCAAGGGACGCGGCGCTTGAATGCTGACCTCTCTAAAAACTTCAAGGAACGCGTTGAGACCTTCCAGCACTGCCGAAACACAGTCAGGAGGGTAGCTGAATCCCGTTAGTCTGTGTATGATCAAAATGACTGGTTGGTTCTCCACTTTGGTTAGCCTTTTAGACTTTCAATACGGTCTCCGAGGCCTGCTCCAGTTTCGGTATTGACGATCCCGAAGACATTATACCTTACGCGGATACGCCCGACGTTCCTGCCGCCCCAAGTACAGACAATGAGAAGGTACTACAGCTGAAGGTCGAACGTGAAAATTTACTGAAGGAAATCGCCAAAGTTGACAGAGAACTCCTAGGCTACAGAGAAATCCTCACATCCGCGTTGTGGGAGTTAAACGACCTGATGTACCCCGTTAGTAACTAGTACCGCCATTGCCTTTCCAAATACATCAATGGTTGCTGTTATCTTCCATAAATCCAGTTTCGAACTGTCGCCCATACCTTCTTTTGAACAAAATAATGACATCTGTTTTACCATACTCATTTGCCTCGGAAATGGGGGAAGAGGACATGTACAAATCAGTCACAGATCAACGGTAATTTGGAAAAGTGTCAGAGTAAATTGCGCAAATGAGACAAGTGATTGCGTGCTAATTACACCAGTTTTTTGGCCAGGAAGAAGGAACGCAGGTTCCGCATCTGGAAGAAACCGGTAAGGCATAGGAGGAGGACTTGTGCAACGCTCCACCACGTCACACGATTGTTAATGCTTTCGCTGAGACGTCGGAAGTACTCTTCTCTGGCCTATTTGATCGAATTTTATCAGTGAGATATTTGAGCCAATTATTTACAATGTATGAAAGGCCTTCACAAGGGAATAAGCGCTTACCCGTTGGAAATCCTGGTCTTTGGCAAGCGTCGCGACTTGTTCCAGAAGCTGACGAATATGTAACTCGATCTCATTAAGTTCCTCTTTCGATGCTATCTCCCTGAAATTTAGAGCATGATCACCGACAGCTATGTCGAGGGTGACCCGCTAAAATCGTACACTATGTGAAATATTGTGGTTTACCAAAAGACTCTTAGTCCAATCGGAACTACTTGATGATAGACAAATGCTGTATTCTCCTGCCGTCTGGGATGTGATTACAAACCGGCCCTCTTGTGAATACATCTGTAAGGAGGAGGAGAAGCTTATTGAGACGCAACAATGCCTACTTACACGGGAAAGTACAACATTACCCTCAGGGTCTTTTATTTCAACATGAACACCATGCTTAGGTGAGCGTACAAATTGCTCATCTTGCAACACGGCGATTGAATAAGTACCTATGTGCAACAATAGCACTTAGCGTCAAGAGTTACCAGCGATCGGGGTATCTTCTGGCACTTCCTCAATGAAACACTTAGATGTACCTTCTTTTATATGAAAATATATGGCAGACGTTGAGGATGAAAGCAAAAATGAAATCAGAACAGTGATAAAGAATGACATAATCCGCAAATGTGACGCGTAACAGAGTAGAATGTGAGTCCAAATTGCCGCCTATTAGAAGAGGTTTCTATAACCAACTTAAAGGTAAAGGCAATATAGATCAGGAGAAGCGATTAGTTCTCACAATTTGTAACTGATTATGCATAAAATATTTATTCACAGTCTATTAATAACTGGCTGCTTGCTTGGCGGTCCAGTAAGTAAAAATTTAAATTAGACCTTTGAAATGTTCCAGAATTTTGCGAATTGGCACTAGCCAGTATGCACTCTGGAGTGCAAAAGCCAGCTAAGTTTTGTTTTACTACACTATTGTGCGTACCTGGTTTTATCAGAAAAGCAATTTGCTCTATCCTTACTTCGAACAAGAGAACTGATTTCTAATGCCTAAAAGAATTCGGTAATGTAAACTGCCAAGACTTCGAAGTTTTAAATAAAACTATGCAGATTTTAATTAATAGGTATGAGTCGTTTATTACATAGTAATAGCGTATTCGGTATGGAATACTTAATGTATTTATGACAAAACAAGTTGCGGAAATCGAATAAGAGCTATCTGCGAAAGCTGTGCCTAATCCACTATCAATCTTTGCCGTTTTTGTAATCCCTACTCTTTGTGCGTCAATTCCTTCTTCCGATGATAATTTACTCGGCCTATGAGAGAATCGTATTCAGTATGCGCATATACTAAAATTTAATCTAAATTCTGTTATTGGATCAATATATTGCTGGGACATCATTATTAAAGTCATTAAATCTGAAATCAGCCTTGAAGCCAAGGTAATGGGATGTGACCAGTTGGGTAAGCTCTTTAATCTCTGTAATTTTATCATGGTTTTAATCTCACGGAGTGTTCCCCATATTTAAAGCAGTTTGGTAGCAGCAGGAGTCGGGGTAGTAATCAAAATTTAATAATAATAATAGTGTTGTTTTTAAAACCGAAACCGTCATAAAAGCCTTTTGCTTTCAGAAGCAGGTTCTGGCTGAACTGAAGCTTATTAAGCTAAAGATTTTACTCCTTGTATCAGAGGTTGAATTGTGCTAATGAAAATGAGCACAATTTAGTGCTACTTGAGCTTTCTACCTTAAATATGTCCCTCAGTTGGATACTGTCTTCAAGCTACAAATTTCCTTTCTCTTGACTTACCCAAAAATATTCTAAATCATTTTGGTTTAAAGCTATTAATTCCCATTTTTGCTTCACTGGTCTTAACTACGTGAGGCTCATTCACTAAAGGTCATGCAAAAGTCGCTCAATTTTCGTGCCTACTACAAGCGCGAGTTTTGGTGGCACAATCGCTTACCATTCTCCTAATCACTCATTTAATTTTTTCTTACCCTTCCTACCTCATTCGCCAAATCCCTTATCAAGTAGGAGAAGTCCAGTTACATAACTGTGCACAACAAGATTGTTCGATTCTTTGCCTCTTCATCAAAACTGTTCTACTCAACAGAGATGAGGTAGCAGAGCAAACTGGGCATGACAAACGTGACAGTCTGTTCTTCCATACAGACGGTAAAGGAAGAATGAAAAACGCAAACACAGAATAGCAACGTGCTGGTTAGATACAGTTACCCACAAAATGCAAATGGCTTTCCCAGAAGACTTGTGTGTACAAGGTTGGAGGGGGAGAGGAAGAAGGATAGTGTGTGCGTGGGTGCAAAGGGGGCTGAGTATGGGAAGATGTGCAATCAGGCACCTCCTGAGTGCCGTAGACATGCGTGGAATCGTTGTTCATCAGTCACACGGGATGCTATCGCCTCGTGTACTGTGGGGTGCAGCTCAGGGGGAATTTTAGTTAAAACAGCCGGGTTGTTAGGTAGACGGTTTACGGCACGAAAAGTACATGTACTTTGATTGAGGGAGGACTTGGTACAAACTGCGTATCGGTTATAACATCGGCTGGCCGAGTAAGGATAAAAGCAGGTCTGAGTTGATGTGCTTTGTGGTGGCGGTTCCCAAAAATATGGTCGTGGTTCCTGCAAGAGACAAGTACTTCAGTGTTTCCAAAGCCGATGGATGTAAAAAGATTCGATTTGTTTCGTAAGTATTTGTCACTTACAATGTCTTTTGCCTAAGTTTATGCATCAAGTATGGAAAACCACATATGGTAAGACATTCATATTCAGCTAATAGATTTTACCCAAAAGACTCACTCGACAGGACTCTTTATTACAGTTGTAGAGTCCCAAAAACAGACCAGCGATTTGGGTAATTGAGAGAGATTCAAGGGGCATGGAGGCACTACACCGCGTAACAAGAAACAGTTGTGTTGTCTGTTGATTGTGGTAGTGAAGGGTTTTATCACAGCTTGGAAAGCAGAGGCGAAATCCTTGAAAATATTGAAACAAGTATTCACGTACGTGGAAGTTGCAAACCCAAACTCGTTGCTCAAGTCGTGCATTCTTTTTTGTAATCGCAACAAGTATTATAAATATAGAGAAGTTGTCAAAGATTTCTTCAAAAAATTATAGGTCAGACGGACTTTATATGCTTGCATAAAACAGGTTTAAGCTCATCCTCCAAGAAATTTAAAAGTCCTTGGCCCCCACGCTAATTAAGGGAGATCCTCTTTAGTAAATTAACGAGATTTAAACCTTTACAGATATAGATTTCATGTTGTATGTAAAGTTACTGCATAAGTCCGTTTCGTATGTTTGAAGTGTCTAATTAAACATTATAATCAATTAAATTAAGGTGCCCGCCGATTCGAACAACTTCCAGCAGCAGAGACTGAAGTATGTTGAGATGTCCTAGATTTTTTGCCATTTAGACGGAAATATATTGGGCACCTTACTAATTTTTTTTTGTTAGAAGTCTTGTTTTGCACTTGATTCACGTGCTAGTGAGATAGAAATGCATTATTTTGCGTCACAGGCTTAGCAAATAATGCGTTAATTGGCAGTGTTACTCAGCCCCGTCAAAGATGTAAAGTCACTCGACTGCTTGTGGCAAAGTTAGTGCATTGATAAATGTCAAACATTCGGATTAGACATACAGTCAGACAGAATTTGTCGGGTATTTGTCTTGCCATCTGCGATCACTTTGTAATAAGGTTGCTAGGGATGTGAACTATTGTACTAACCTGTGATCAGGAAATTTGCCTTCTTCGTCGGAATCATTGGAGGAGTAACACCGCATGCAGTTCCTTGGATGAAGTGAACATCAACAGTCTTGTTCGCTTCAAGAGGTCCCTTCAAGACCTGCTTCACCTCCAGGGATAGAATAGTACCCGCGAAGTGCAAGAGATTTGGACCACTGGTCCTGTAAAAAGTTCGCGATTGCGTTGGTGTTCTTCCTGCCACGATAACTGCAATAGCAATGTAATCTCATAAATACTATGGAAACCCCTCTACACAGGATTTTGCATGCCTTTAGGTGATCTGCGTCCGTGTCTCGAAAATCAAACAGTCTTTGTCATTAATTATTCGAAAGCACTCTACACTTAGGTGACATTGTAAGAGGACGCAATCAAAATAACCGTAAATCATCAGACTTAAGTGCTTGGCTTTACTCGACCAATTCAGTGTCAACACTCACAAATTGGGCTTGGTAGTTCGTTTGGCCATTTTAAAATGCACCAGTACCGCCCTTGTTGTCCACCATGGGGTAGCTATAAATCGCCAAAACTATTCTGACGCCACATATCCTTGTTTATCCATTCTCTTATCAGTCATGGTTTCACTTTTCTGAGAAAACAGCCTTTAAAGGGCAGATTGAAGTTTACTCTAAAAAAGTGTCGTATTTTGTCTGTGACCAAGAGGCCGAGCGACTACAAAAGAATTTGAGAGCTCTGCTTGGTTAAGTGCCAGTGCTTAGAGGTCTCACAATTCAAAATTTTAAAAAGTTATTCGCTACTTATATTCATTTCAGCGACCAACCTACCATTGATTAAGCAATAGTAGTGTTAAAAATGAAAATCGTTCGAAATAGAATTGCAATTAAGTGTAACCGTAGCGTCTACGAAACCTCTTTATCCACCTAACTTCACATCTCTTGGCTCAAGAGCACATTCAATCAGACCTTACAGATGAACCCTCTAATCCCATCCTAGGCACCTCATTATGAAAGGAAAATGAGCCTCACAACCGCGCTCATTTAAAAAAAAAAACGAACTGCATAACACTGTCCAAAAATTCCCTTTTGATGCCTTAGTATTTTGCTCTCAACCTCCAATATTTGAAGAGGCCTAAAACTTAGCCTTAAATGTCTGCTTGTTAAACGGTGCGGATACAGACCAAATTATCCGCCTCCAGTGCAAACAAACAACACATGAATGATTAACAAATCACCTCAGACGGTGTACCCATCTGCCCTTGCGAGAAGGAAATCCAGCGAGCTAACATAAGTTCACGTATCAATCACGGATGTTAGACTCAGGATGCTAGAATTAACCCAACGTCAAGCAACGTCAACACCCAACATCGGAGGCCTCACTTTACCGACAAAATCACTGCATTATTCAAGTGGTCTTCTTAACTTTAGTCCGTTTTAAGCCGTCAAAATAATGCGAAGGTATCTCAAAGTTGTCACAAAATCTATCAGCTATTTTGGTAACTCAATATTACAAAGCAAATTGCCGAACATTTTATAGCCGTAATTTCCTTCAACTTTAACAAAAGCCGGTAGCATGGAATGCGGTTAAGTCGGCGAGAAACAAAAGATATGCCGCTAATGCGTGTCTGGAGCCTGTACTTGTGTTTTATCTGGCAAGCCCATGAAACCTGAGATCTGGTCGTGTGTGTGTGTGTGTGTGCCATTAAAACTAATTGGTGTACTGATGTGGGCAATAGCAAGTTTAATCCTCACACCACACACACACACAGCCAAGTGTGCAACACCTCATAATCCTGGTTTGAGTCCCACAAGCCACGCCATACTTCCAGCCTACTCAACAAATCTTTGTGCTAAAAAGCGATCAAGTGAAGAGGGGAATTCGGTCTAATGATGTGGGTTGAAGGGAGGTGGACAACTCTCAAAGTCGGTCACTCGAGTGGTCCCCCTTTACACCGAGTGACAAGTGATGGATGGTAAAGGCAAAAGGTGGTTGTCATGGCAAGCATAAGGTTGCACACACAATTTTTCACGTGTTGGTAAAATGACAAAGCTGTTTACTAACATTTTGTGTGCTAGTAGAAATCCTTTTTTTTTCTCTCTCTCTCTCTCGCTCTCGATACAGATTCCATGCTTGAACTTCGTGGGTAGATGACATTGTCTGGAGACAGGGAGAACGATAACTTTCCCTCTTGATAATATTTTTCTTCCTACCTTTCCCCAATCTACCTTTCAAGTGAGATATTTAAACCTTCGTGATTATATGTGGAGGAAAATGCAACGAGACACTTCCTACGCCTCCGTCTCCGCCTCCGCCTCATTCTCTTTCCGCCTCCCAATCCTTACTTTGGGTCTCTCTCCTCTGCTCCGCCCCTCCCCCTTCCGCCCCGACGGTTGATGGGGCGCTGGTCGTAGCCTCGAGGAGTCCGCCCACATTACCCAATTACTTAGATTTTTACATCCAAATAAATACATAGTTATAAGGTGATTTTAAAATAACTTTGCCTCTTATTAAAAAAAAAGTTCAAAAAGCGCAAAAGTCCACTCACGAGGTCTAACCAGAATTTCTACACGAAGTGAAAGGGAGGGAGGAGATCTAGCTCCACCTCCCCTCCAAAAAATACATCATGTCCTCCCTCAGCTGCAAATTGATAAGCAGTTTAAAAAATAATAAACAATAGGACACTTAAGAAGGCAAAAAAGACGCGTCCAAAAACAAAATATATGACGTTAAGTAACCTGTCGAGCCTCGAGTAAATTAAATGAGTGAACATAAAGTTATTTGGTGTCTAGTGACCTACCGAAGTCTTGTTTGCAGAATCTGCTCTGAAGGATGTCATTGCCACAGGTGCAGAAGGATCGTGTGTGCTGTCGCATGTGAGCTTCCAGGTGCTCTCGATCAGCGCCAAAATTGACTGCTGTGCTGGAGGCTCTATAGCTGGAGAAATTCCTCTGTCTATAGCCGCCTGTTCGTCGCGGCATCAGAAAGAAGAGGAGCATACAAGCCGTGGTGAAATGCACTCCCGAGACTACGTAGCGAGGTAGACGACGCATTCTTTGTAAGGCCAAATTCTCACCTACGATTCGATGGCAGCATTGCCAAGGGTGTGTAAAACGTAATGTGAATGAATGATTGAATGAATTATGGAGCAGAAGTGGAGGTGAGGTGAGACATTCAAGACAAGAGTAATCTCGAGGACTGGAGATTTCAGGGCGTTCCGATTAAATGCGCGTTCGAGCGCACGTGCGGACAAAACTCGGCACATGCGTGTTGCGGCCGACCTTGACATTGCGGACCAATCAGAGCGCAGTACATCAGTGCAGTCGATCAGCCACTAAGCCACTCCAAAACGATTAACAAAAATGTCGCTTTCATTGGGTTTGCACACCTTTACACTAAAATTTACTACTCTATGAGCACTTTCCTCTCACCTGCTCCTTGTTATAATGGGAAAAGGAAATTATCTTATTAGGACCCTATTACTTTACTCCCTTGAAGATGTATCACTTTTTATGCTGTAAGATTAATTTGGTTTTATAATGAACTATAGGTGAATTGAATTATTACCTTTTTTTCCGATTACAAAGTCAATTTTTGGTGAACTAACCTTTTTACTCTAGTAAAGGTAATTATCACCGGTTTTAAGCCCTTCCTTCGGAACACACCCATCCCGGTTGTCACGACGGTTGCCATGGCAACAACGAGGATGTTCACGGAACGACTTAGTGGAAAGTCGTGTCATTAAGTGAGCCCGGACCCTACCGTAAACACTAGTCGTGGCTGAGGTCAGTCTGGAGACCTGATAGAGCGCGTGACGAAATGTTTCATCAAAGACCTTAAAGACGGCCGACAGAGGCTAAAATTCGGTCGCTAAGACGCGATCCTTTAAACCTTACTGCCCTTTTTGTGTTGTGGCGGTGTAAATAATCATGTCTTAAACTTGATGTAATTAAAGATTTTTGAAACCATCTCGACTATGGGGCGCAAACAGCCTATGTTTTTATATCACTGCATTAAATGTTCGAAAAAACCGACCTTCAAGAGGCTGCTTTGAGCTCTTCAGCCTTTGATAAGGCATTAGGAGTGAATGTGGAGGTGTTGCAATGTCAAAGAGAGGTACGATGGTTGTCTTTCTGTTGTCTTTTCTAACTCCTATTGGCTCATTGGTCGAGTTCGAAGTTACTCGAGCCTCGAGAGGAAGAAAAATCTCTTACTTTGCCATTGTTTTTTTTTGAAAAGCTGCAAGCTGACAATCACAACAAATGGGCTGCCAAAAGGCACTCAGCAATTAGTTGTCCACCGGTAAAAAGAGTGCTAAAATACACAATTTTTTTTCCCAATGTCCAAACCACAAAAACGGGGTTGTTATTATCCATGGTTTGCGTTTCCATCCCAGTTACGAGGCCTTTGGTGTGTCTGACTTAATTAAGACAGATTGTAGCAACCTCTTATGAGCCTCAGTGACTTTTGTGACTGTGTGTAGAAGGTTTTGGCGTGTGGCAACGGTAGCAAAGGTCACAAGTGTAGCCCAAATGGCATAGAAAAGTCTACTGCCAGCCTTTGGATGCATTGTTGGTAAAAAGTGTACAAATCTCCACTCATTCTCAGTCCAATTCAATGGACTTGGGAGGAGTACATGACCTTAAGCAGCTTCAACTCACCTCAATTCTCAAAGTTTCTTTTTACTTCCCTTTGCAGTGCTTTGGAGGTGGGCATAAACTGCAAGACTTTTGCGAGACTAGGGATAATTGTCTGGTTACTAAGCGACACTCAACTGCATCACCTCCCTACCACTGCACTACACTCAACGATTTGAAGCATTAATGTGGTCTGAAGTGCCAAGCTCTTCCGTTTGTAGGGGGGAGGATGGGGCTAGGCGCATGCGTCCACCCACTTCCCCACCCAACACACCCAGACTGAAGTAGGCCTTAGCAACGAGAGTGGGTTGGTCTACTAAAATTCCTTGCGGAAATTGTCCCACCCACACATAAATCAACAACTCCTCAGCCCTATACTAATTTGACTTAGTTTTTACTCATTTTTTTGTGTTTTTCTGTCAAAGAGGGCCACGAAGAGTTGGCATTACACCCACGTCTGTGACAAACAATTCGAGGGGTGTCGAGCTAAATACACATCCTCAACTGTTAAAAGCGTTATGAAAAAAATAGCGCCATCAGCAATTATTAATTACTTGCATTGCGGCTGAATTTTTTGGAAAAGCAAACTAAATTTTCAAAAAAATCAGTTGTTTACGAGAATGAAATGAGTGGAGCACAGACGGTAGGTGATGATCCTCTGCGTACTCCGACAGAAGTACTCAAATCACAGAAAAATTCAACCTCATCTCCTCAAGCTGGAAATACTATTAGTCCTTTCTAAAGCGACGCGATTTGGTCGAAACGTGATCCTGTTTTTCCCAAATTTTAACCAAGTGTTTCATTTGGCCTATTAGATTTAAGTAGTATCAACTACCACTTTTATTAAACATCATTACTTGAGGTTAAAATCCTGTCAGCCATAATTACATTTATAGCATACCCCTCGAGTAATGCCATTTCATCTGATTTCTTCACCTTTTTTTCTTTTTTTTGTTTCAGTCAATTAGTCGATATTTTCAATTTAAGTAGTATTGAGATCTCGTGATTGTTTTTTGTCAATTATAAGTTAGTAAGGCATGACTTTTGAGTTATATGCTGTACGATTAAAAATGTGCCCAATTCCCTGGCTTAGGTGCTAGATACCGACCTAGTAACAAGTAACCTTGCCACATGTAACCTCAATCGCACCTTCGACCCGCAAACTCAACGACACCGCGAACGCTGCTGCTCATTTCCTTCCAATTCCACATCCTATCTGAACACTGCACCAGACTGTGCTGCCACGTTTGAAAGTCTACGATGTGTGACTTGGCTTTTAGCTCGAGGTGGCAAATTTGTGTTGCCAAGTCGCTCCACTTTAACCGCACTCCCAGACTGTAATTTAGGGTTTTGATAGTTGATGCCATCTTCCTCACTTTTTTTTTTAATTTTTTACTCACCTCCGTCAGATTGCCACACTTTCAGCATGCAATCTTAAGACGGGGACAAGTCGTATGCACAACCACTACAAGCTGACTTGATAAAAAATGGCATCAAAGTACCCCATTTTTGACGTTGATGCGTACTTTCGGGGTCAGTGATGGATACAGCGTAGGTAAGGGACCGGCTTCCGTCTTTGACATGTACTTTCGTAGTCTACTGTGCGGATGCGGCTCCATTGAAAGTCAGCTACACGTGTGCATACACACACTCATATACTGAGAGCGAGAGCGAGAGAGAGAGAGGGGTAAACAATGATTTATCGCCAAACCACAAGACCGTAACTTGGCCACACATCGCCGTGTGCCGATGCTCCTTTTGAACCGGAAGTTCAAGTTGAAGTTGTGCTGGAAACTTGACCTTCTATCCAATTTCAGTGCCTACCGAGGCATTTGCATGCAAGGTAAGAAGTGAACTAGGTAAATGACACCCACTGGCCCCTTGTTTGAACACGAGTTTCCAGTCTCTTCCTTCCTCCTTGTCCCCTCCCTCCCACCCTGTCACCATCAGAGTGGCTGTGGCTTAGAATGTCATCCGTCTTTGACATTTGTCATTGAATAGGCACGTGATTTGTAGCAGCCAATTTCTGCCAATGAATCCACTAAATAATTTTGACAAAATTGAAGAAAATATAAAGTATGTAAACACCTCTGTGAAGGTTTTTGTTGCGCCAGAGCGGAGGCTCTCGTCTCTCTTTCACTTACGCTATTTTACCATGTTTTTACAATAAGTACGAGCCCATAATGCAGGGCAAATTGCCCCACACCTCTCGTTATAGACCATGCCAAATTGTGCTTGCCTTTTGACGGTGGTGAGATGGTGGTGGTAGTGGTGGCGAGGGTGGCGGAGGTGCGGCAGCAGCAGCAGCGTTGCTGGTGGTGCTGGTTTGATGAGTTTTGTCAGTTGACGGTGAACAGTTGCCAAACAGCAAGAGCCGGCGAAAAATGAGACACTAGATCAAATGAACACAGAAAACCCTCTTTAATTTTTTGCCTATTCTTGGTCAGTTTCCCAGACTCATTTTCCCGGGCGTTTTTATCAGACTGCAGACTTGCGAATACACTTGCAAGGCCGTTTTGAACCCTCAAACGTCAGGCCGTTTTAAGTTTTACTGTAAACTTAGCTGTAAATGTCATACACAACCAGAATTTGGTTTCCGATTCGTTTTGTTTTATTGCTGTGAAAATTTTATTCAAAATTTGCCTCTCACATTCATTTTAGCCTTGGCCAATTTTTATTTGCTTTTAGGCAGTTTAAGTAGTATAACATTTGCAATCCATCGCTTGTTTATTTATTGTAGAATATTTCTGTTAGCATTATGTATACAAAAATTGTGACAAATTAACTTAAAAGGATGTGTAAAGGTGGAGTGTACATCCATTTAAGCTCAATTTCAATGACCTTCATTGTCTTGCTGTTGCCTCCTCGCCTAATAAGTAGTATAGCAATCAAAATAAAACAATGGTTTTCTAGGCTTCCTCACCCCACTTCTGCCCCTTATTGCCGATAATGCTATCCCCGAAAATTTACTAGTCTTAGCCCTGTTTACTCCCAAGGCCTGCTCTGCGTACCACACGCGGCCTCAGTTCGTACAAAAGAGCCCTCGTAATCCTTGCCATAGCAACCAACACTTGGTTTTTCTTCACCAGTCACTCCATTTCGGACATTTATGGCGTAGGTGATGATAAGCTTTGGACTGGACTGGCAACACTTTGGGTTGTCAAATTTTCGTCAAGTGGTCACTTTCCAGTTCGAATTTCGCAGGGCAAAGGACATGCGATACAAGGAATTTTGCACACATGTTTGGCATCAGTTTTATGTGTTTATGGTCAGCAATCCACTCAATGGTTTGTTGACATAGTGTTCGGGATAAAAGTACCCATTACCAGTCCTAACTCAGTCCTATTCACTAATAAAATTGCCAACCTCATGGTAAGAGATTAACATCCCATTTTCTTTAAAACGGACTACTTGTT